AGAAAGGGTGTTGGATTTTGTCAAATGCTTTTTTTTGCATAGATTGATACTGTGATTTTTGTCTCAGTTTGTTTATGTGATGTATCACATTTATTGATTTGCGGATATTGTACCATCCTTGCATCCCCGGAATAAATCCTACTTGGTCATGGTGTATGATCTTTCTAATGTAATGCTGGATCCGATTTGCTAGAATTTTGTTGAGGATTTTAGCATCTATGTTCATCAAGGATATTGGCCTGTAGTTCTCTTTTTTTGTGATGTCCACTTCTTCTAGTCTACTGTTGATGCTTTCTATTGTGTTCTTTATTGCAAGTATGTCATTCTTCGTTTCTTCTTGGTTTTTCTTCATTTCCTCTTGGTTCTTACATATGTTGTTGAATTTGTTTTCCATCCTTTTCAGCGTCCTTATGACCATTGCTCTGGAATTATTTCCTGACAAATTGCTTGCCTCCATTTCGTTTACTTCCTTTTCCAGTGATTCCTCCTTTTCTTTCATATGGGGGCTATTTCTTTGTCTCCCCATTTTTGCTCCTCTCAGGTTGTCTGGTTATGTGGTTCACTCTCTACCACGTTGACTTAAAGCCACAAAGTACAACTAGACAAGACACAACACAGAGGGCACGAAACACGAATGTATTCATGATACCAATAACCCCAAATAAAGGTGACCACCAGATAAAAGAGAATTAGGGGACAGGAAAGAGCGCAAAAATGATATTGAGAAAAGGAAAAAAGGTAAGAAAGAAAAGAAAAAGAAAAAAGAAGGGGAAGAAAAAAATATGTATATGGGGAGAAAACTCCAAAAAAACTGACAACTAATACAAAAAATGCAAACAAAACCCATTAAAGAAGGAGGGAAGCTGAATCTGAAGAGGCAGAGCTTATTTCCAGATGGTAAGGTAAAGGAATTGAATGAATGGGGAAATGGCCATGATTCAGTATAGAGGAGGTAGAAAGAGAAAGAGTGTATAAGAAGTAAAAAACAAAATACTCAAAAAAAGTAGAAAATAATAATTGAGAAAAATAATTTTAAAATATATATTAAAAATATATATATAAAAGGAAATATATATAAATTTCCCCTTTAATCTTTCTATCTATGTATTCATCTATTTTTGGAAAAGGAGAATAGAGAGCAGATAGATCTGAGTTGATGATAGAAACTAATTAAGCTATTAGACAAAGAGAACAAGCGAGGAGAGGGAAAAAAGCATAAAACAAACAACAACAAAAAACAGACAAACAACAACAAGAAAGAAAGAAAAAAAAGAAAAAAAAATGGCTAGCAAAGAAAGAGAAAAGTGTGCATGGACGTGGAGCAGCGGAGAGGAAATTAGATATATGAGTAGGCCAAGAGCGACTACTTTAATATTAATGTGTCAATAAAGCAGATAAAGATCAATTTTTAACAAGGAGTAAAAAGAAAGGATAGAGAAAAACTAAAGCAGGAGCAGGAGATGAGAAAGGATGAGAAAGGGAAAAGTGAGGAAGTGTTGGCTTAAGGAAAAAAATTGAGATAAAAATAATGATAAAAAATGAATAAAAGTAGAATGTAGAACACTAATCCAAAAAAATAAAAATTAAAGAAAGGTAAAAAATAATAATAAATAATAATTTATAAAGTGAAAAAAATTTTTGGTTTCTTAAGTAAAAGATAAAAAATGAAAAAGTGAAGAAGTGAAGTTTGTTCACTTCAGCGTAGCTTCAGTGTCCCATGGGGCATGGCTTAACACCCCTTTCCACTGTTCTGTGTTTCCTGTCAGATAGTCAGCACAGTGTTGAATTTCCCATTGATCCACCACTGCTCTGTGTCATACGCCACAACCTTGGTATGAATCAATCTGCCCACTTTGTTTTTCCACCAGCTTTCAGTCATATTTACACAAGTGTCTGTTTCTGACATGGACCTTAGGTGGCAGTGTTTCTGTATTAGTTTTCAGGACCAAATGGCCCCTCAACCCAGTCCCCCAGGGCTCCCTGGGGGTATTTAGAATCTTCCTTTCCCTGCCGTGCTCAAGACTGGGTGCAGCTCTGCTGCTAGGAGGAGCCTGGTCTTTAGGAGAAAAATGTCTGTTCAGGGTTGGAGGGATGGGCTGTCCCAGAGCTGGCTTCCTTATCATCTCTATTCTGCTCCCCAATTTCCACAAAAACCACCGTCCCCTGAAGTCTCAGTGAGTGTTTTTAATTGAAAGATCCTATGCCAGCCGTGGGCAAACTACGGCCCGCGGGCTGGATCCAGCCCGTTTGAAATGAATAAAACTAAAAAAAAAAAAGACCGTACCCTTTTATGTAATGATGTTTACTTTGAATTTATATTAGTTCACACAAACACTCCATCCATGCTTTTGTTCCGGCCCTCTGGTCCAGTTTAAGAACCCATTGTGGCCCTCGAGTCAAAAAGTTTGCCCACCCCTGTCCTATGCACTGGGTTTAGCAAATAAAAGCAAGAAGATTATAAAGACAGAGCAACCATGCTGCCTCCTCAGGTCTTTCTCCCTTCGACACTGTGTGACCAGTGTAGAACTTCAGGTTGCCTTTCTGGGCACAGCCTCCCACAGCTTAGATCTAGAGTCCCCCACTGCTAGCAGCCCTATGGACCCCTTACCACATTCCAGGGCTACACTGACCCCAAGGGATGAGGATTTGGTGCAGCACAGTCTCCCTCTGAAACTTTAGTCCCAGCTGTGTGCGTCTCTTCCTCCAGCCCAGATCTCCGTACCCACCTCTCTCCAGGCGATCTCTGACCTTTCTGTCTGCAGATTGCCTCACCAGCTGTGTTTAATTCACCAGTTCTGGGTGGATGTTATTCGATTCAGCTGTTTCTTCTATCGGCTCTGTCAGAAGGTGCAGGACCCATCTGCCTATTTGGCCTCGACCTTGTCTCCCCTGGACAAACTTTTTAGGTACCTGCAGCCAGGCAGGCTGGAGTCTTGGTGTTCGTGGGTTCACAGCTGGTCCCTGGCCAGTGTGGCTGTAGGGTCCCAGGTGGTATTCGAGGTCTTCCCCCGGTGAAGGTAAGGCAGGGCTTCCGATCACAGTCGCTCTCCCCTTCAGATGGTGCAGTCTCTGTGGTAGAGCCGGCTTCCCGGGAAGGATTTCAGCGGTAGTAGAGGCTGCCCGGCCAGGGGAGCCTGGTCCGCCAGTCCCCGACAGCCCTGTGGAATATAACTGTCCCTCACTCACACATACACATATTCCCCGAACATCCACACATTCCCCTTTCGCTCTCTCACTCACTCCTACACTATCTCCCTCACTGCCATCCTGTTGGCCACCATCTTGGATCTCCAGGGTTAGTTCTTTTGATTTGCGAATATTTTACCATAGTTGCATCCCTGGAATAAATCCCACTTGGTCATAGTGTGATCTTTTTAATATATCGCTGGATCTCATTTGCTAATATTTTGTTGAGGATTTTAGCATATATGTTCATCAGGGATATTGGCCTTTAATTCTCTTTTTTTCTAGTGTCTTTATGCTGGCCTCAGAAAAAGAGGTTGAAAGTATTCCTTCCTCCTGGATTTTTTGGGAATAGTGTGAGGAGGATAGGTGTTAGTTCTTCTTTGAATGTTTGGTAAAACTTCCCCGTGAAGCCGTTTTGACGAGGGCTTTTGTTTGCTGGGAGTTTTTTGATTATTGCTTCTATTTCCTCAGTTTTTATTGGCCTATTCAGGTTTTCTGCTGCTTCTTGATTTAGTTTGGGAAGATTGTTTTTTTTTTAAGAAATTTGTCCATTTCATCCACATTGTCCAGCTTGTTGGCATATAGTTGCTCATAGTATTTTCCTATAATCCTTTGTATTTCTGTGATGTCAGTTGTTACTTCACCGCTTTCATTTTGGATTTTACTTATTTGGGTCCTCTCTTTGTTTCTTGATGAGTCTGGCTAAAAGTTGATCAATCTTGTTTATGCTTTCAAAAGAACCAGCTCTTGGTTTCAGTATTTTTTAAACCGAGTTGAAAAATTTTGATTATCATATTCTTAATCTTATATTTTGTTTTCTGAATATTATTTTTTATAATATTCTTTCTTGTCTTTTATCTCTAAATATGCTAATTATATGTTTTTTCTAATATTTTTCTTGCTATCTGCATTGCCTCTTTTCCTTAGGATTCTTTTATCTGTTTTATTGACTTTGGTCTGAAAAACAGGAGGTTTTCCTGAAATTAATGGTGCTTATTGGTTGTCTATCCATGTAAGAGCAAGGCACTAAAATGCTTCCTGGGGACTCAGTGTTTGGTCAGAACATCTAGGATTGTTGTTATTTACTATATGCTCTTTGGTCTGTATCTTCAGGTGAGAAATTTGCCCTGCATGGAATAAGCCTCATTTTGTTCCCTATTTTTGTCTAGCACCTCATTCCTGTTTTGCTCTATCTATGCCTGGCATTCCTAAATTTGGTTCAGTTTTTGTAGTATATTTCCCACTTATTGCCTCATTTTTTCAAATTATAAGCAAAAGTTTATGCAGAAAGTCACAGAGGTAGAAGTGAATCGTAGAAGAAATGGTTTTAGGAAACAAGTTACAGAGGCAAAAGAAAGGCCAGTGGAGCTTAGGAGAGAGAAAGGTAAAGGTTACATGCTTGGTCGGGGAAGGAGAGAAGGAAGGGAAAGGTGTGAGCATGCTCCTGAGAGAGAGAACCCCGCCTATTGCTTCTATTGCCTCTTATTCTTAGTTTATCTCCTTTTTGTTAATATTCTTTTTTCAGATAATGATTAAGTGAAATCATTTTTGTAGATATACTCATATTCCAGGCATATGACTGAAACTCACTTAGATTGTATCTAAATTTTCAGTCCACTGTAAATAACTAGTCAGCCATTACCTATTTCTATCTCTATCTACCTATGTATCTATCTAGTTATCTAACATCTAAGAGAATGAGTTCTGAGTTTCTCACTATTGCTACCATGTACTAACTACAAATATCAATTCAGAAATTGCTACTAGGATTATTAAAGTAGATCCTAAGTATACTATGTATTAAAAATGTATTTTTCTTTTTGAAAATAAGGTTTGCTTTTCTTTTGAAAATTAGGTAAGTCAAAAATGGCAGAACTCTTTATGGAATGTGAAGAAGAAGAGTTGGAACCCTGGCAGAAAAAAGTAAAAGAGGTTGAGGATGATGATGATGATGATGAGCCGATCTTTGTTGGAGAGATAGCAAGTTCAAAACCAGCAATTTCAAGTAAGCATTTATTTTTAGTGAAGCCAAGTTTTATAAAATACTGTTTCTAATGGAAAAAATTTACAAACTGGCTTAGGAGGTACTTATGTCCTTGCTTCTCTGTAAAGAGTTGGGAATGAAAGATTGGGTGGGAGATAAGTAAGACTTTTAGAAACAGGGTGGGGATGTAATTGGGTACTTGAGGGAGGAGTTAGGTTAAAATATCAGATCTGAGTAAAAGAAATGGACTAAGATTAGCTGGTGACATTGGAGGTCTTTTGTTATTAGAAATCATAATTTTTATGGAGCTAAATTTTCTATTTATATATGTATTCTTTTTTTTCCCACTTAAACTCAGAAGTAGAGGGAAAAAAGGGTTTAGAATACTTTGTTTAAAATGTCAGAATGTACTAAATAAGTTTGTGTTATTCTTAGATAGGGGTTCTCAATTCTAGGCAACTGCCTTATAGCAGTGTCATCCATTCATAGATACAAAATGTATGGGCAGTGAATGATTGCAGTCTCTGGCCTGTATGCTAATAGTTGCTTCTGATCACATCCATTTTCCAGCAACTTGCATTTATATTCATGAAAGAGAAGGGCACTGTCTACAGCTACTATATTTGGATGACATAGCAGTTAGTTAAAACTTAAATCTTTATGGTTTTTTAACAGAACATCTTGATACCTTTGTAGATACTAGATTTCAGTTAGAGTAATTGTATTTGACCTTGTTATAATGTTCAAGCAAAGAGCAATAACACCTTTTAAAATATTCGCTCAAAAATATATAGAAGTGTAGAGAAGTAATGTATGAATGTTAGATTTTCTTACCAAGATAATGCTTAAAAGTGTGATTAAGAGGCTACTTTAGCCCTGCCGGTGTAATTCAGGGGATTAAGTGTTGTCCCATGCATTGAGTGGTCACTGGTTCGATTCCTGGTAAGGGTATATGCCTGGGTTGCAAGATCCCCAGTAGGGGTGTTCAGGTGGCAGCCCATCCATATTTTTATCCCTCTCCCCCTCTCCCGTCCTCTGTCTCTAAAATCAATAAAAATGCAGGTATTTTTTAAAAAGAATCCCTTGCTCTTTGCCCTTAAAAAAAAAAAGAGGTTACTTTAAAATATTTGGAAAGCCTGATACTTTCTTCTGTTGTCCCTAAACTTGTAAGGGGCACTTTTATTCAGTTTTATCAGAGGGATAATAACAATTGAATTCTCAATACCACTTCCTCTGGCACATTAATAATCTCTCATGGAGGTTCTAATTGGAGTGCCACTTTGATTATAAATTGAATGATACTTGTTGATGATAGTAGAACATAATTATATATTCTCTTTAATTATTGTTTCTAGTAATTGTGATTATTTTATACTGGAATATTACCATATTGTAAAATTGTTATTGAAATTCTCTTATTGAAAACATGACAGTTAAGATTCAAGTTGATTTTATACTGATTGAACATGATTTAACAGTGTTCAACTAGAATAGTGTATACTAGTCCTATATAATAAAAGCCTAATATGCTAAGTGTCAGGTCGTCCGGTTGTCCGTTCAACCAATCAAAGCGTAATATGTTAATGATATGCTAAGGCCGCTCAACTGCTTGCTATGACGTGCACTGACCACCAGGGGGTAGATGCTCTTACCTGTAGGTTAGCTTGCTGCTGGGGTCTGACTGATTGGGGCTGAGCGAGACAGGCCAGACACACACTGGAGCCCTCCTGTGGTCCCTCCCTGGCTGGCCAACCTCCTGTGTCCCTCTCCAGCCCCGATCGTGCACCAGTGGGGTCCCTTAGCCTGGCCTGCGCCCTTTCACAATCCAGGAGCCCTCGGGGGATGTCGGAGAGCCAGTTTCTGCCTGATCCCGCAGGCCAGGCTGAGGAACCACAGTGGTGCACGAATTCGTGCACCGGGCCTCTAGTTTTAAAATAATTATGTCAAAAAGGAGATTGACCCCCAGTAGAATTTCTTTTCTGAATTGTTAAAGATACAGAATTTAAATGATTGTATTGTTGGTTATGTGTAGGCCATAAAATGTTAACATGGAATATGGTTTGAATGTTTACATAGAATTACCAGAAAGAAGGGGAAAATCTGTGTTTTGTAGAATACAACCACTAAAAAGTACTTTAATAATAGTTCTTCGTTGGTTTGGTAAATACTTAATCATGAATTTCAGAATGAAAATGGTGTTAAGTTATTGGAGCAGAGTTGTTTATTCAATAAGACATATGTAGTGCTTAGTTATAGACACTACATTGTCATTATCAGATAATAACCCTACTTCTGTGTGGCCCCTTACTTTATAGGATTATTTTATGAGATCTGGTTATTTTTTACTGGGATAGAAGAAAAGGACATTTTAATGATATTTGGAGTGTTTGTGCTTTTACCTTTTTCTAACCAACAATTTTAGGCAAAACCCACTCTTCCAAATTTTAGTTTGATTATTGAGTAACCTAAGAGTTACAGAGTTTATATGCATGTAAGAATAAGGAAGTTTAAACTGATCCTGAAAGTCATATTAGACTCACATTGACTTCTGCTATAGTGGTAGATTTGAAACTCCTTAAGTTATAAGATACTCTGGTAAACTGTAGGTTCATTTTAGTTTGTAGTCTCTGATAGTTTCCCTTTCAGAAATCAAGAGTAATGGTGCAGATAATCCAATGAGATCCCTTATAAGGTCACTTCAAAGCTTTTAGGGATGTGAATGGGATATGGAGCTTGGACAAGATTTTGATTTTGAGTAATAGGAACCTGAGTGTACATACAACCCTATCATCACTCAAAGAAAGACATATACTTCAATTATAAGTTGTATATTAATAATGTGGAATATTTCTTTGCCATGTAAAAGGTTTGACTTATATAGTCAGATTTATCAATTTTTTATTTTTGGCCTTTGGATTTTGAGTTATAGTTAAAAAGGTTGTTCTAATACTATGCAACAATTAAAGCTTGTAATTTTGTCCCTTTAGTAAATAAATAAATAAGTTTAACTGTATTTTAAAATAGTGATAACTTATAACTTCTTCCAGGAATCTATTTGTTTTCAATTCATGATTTCTATTATCTTAATATATATTTCATTCAAACAAATGAATTTTAAAATAAATTCAATTTTTTTCAGATATTTTAAATAGAGTAAACCCCAGCTCATATTCAAGAGGAATAAAGAATGGCGCACTCAGTCGGGGTACAGTATTATTTTACTCTTTTAATTTTAAAGAGAAGTATTTTGATATCATTGATTATATAGAAATATATTTAATATATTGTGTAATTTTGAAATACAGGTATTACTGCTGCATTCAAGCCTACAAGTCAACACTACACGAACCCAACATCAAATCCAGTGGCTGCCTCGCCAGTAAATTTTCATCCTGAATCTAGATCTTCAGATAATTCTGTTATTGTTCAGCCTTTGTCTAAACCTGTAAGTGTTTCTGAAACTACACAGTCAGCTCAGGTATACATTGGATATTATTTATAAATGTCAACAATACCCAATTAAAATTCTGAACTAGCATGGGTAGAAGCATTATCAGCATCAGAAAATGTCACCATTAAGAGCTCAGAAAATGTCACCATTAAGAGCTCAACCAGTACCCAAAGCAATAACTGCAGGAACTAACTATCCAACCTGTTTCTTAGTAATATGATTAAATTAAATAGGTACAGTATTAAAAACTGTGCTATCAAAACATGAATAAAAGCATAATCAGTAATGAATATTGCATAATGGCAAACTGTCTAAGATTATAAAATGCACCAAGTATTCTTCATTCTTAATTGGGAAAATTATTGAGAGCCTATCATAGCTTTTTATTCTGAAAACGTACCTTTATAGTATTAAAAAAAAAAACAACCTCAACAAAAAGTACTAGTTAATGGTAATAGTTAAAATTTATTGAACTGTTAATATGTGTAAGGCTTTGTGCTAAATGACATATATATATATATAATATATAAGTTAATCTGATTTAATTCTTAAATATCCTGTGATGTAGGCACTATTGTTACCCTATTTTATATTTGAGGAAATTGAGGCTCACAGAGGTTCAATAATTCACTAGTGCCACAGAGCTGGCAAATGATAGATTTGGAATTTTACTCAGACTAACCCATAGTTCATGTGTATTTATATATATATGTTGTACATAAATGTATACTTTAACACATTAAGCGCCCAGCCTGTTTTGTCTTCCAGATGGAAAGTATAGTATCAGTCACCGGTGACTGCCATGGCGCTTACGTGTTAAAAAAAAAAAATGGTAGCATTGCTTTCGTGTGACCATTTTCAAAGTGCAATTTTCAGGCCCTGGAGTTTCTTCTGAGATTCTTTCATGAGTTTGAAAATCAACACTATTATCACAAAAATAGAAAGACACTATTTGCCTTTTTCACTATGTTGACATTTATTGTAATAATAATACAAAGACACTATTTACCTTTTCACCATGTTGACATTTGCACTTATAAAAGCAATGGTGAGTAAACTGCTTGTGCCTCAAGACAGTGGTATCAAGCTGTACTAGTAGTTTTTGTATTAGTCACTACCATGCATTCACAGTAAAAAATATTACAGTCATACTCAATTTACCTGAGGAAGTATTGAACTACTTTGTTAATTCTAATTTTGAATATGTGTCTTTAAAAAATATTTTGTGTAGTGAAATGGGTAGTATGCATAAAGCACTTCTGTGTCTGAAGTATGATATATTTTGAGGAAAATCACTTGTGTATTGAATTGTAAGCTAAACTACCCACTTTTTAAAAACAGAAGAACATTTTTACTTGAAAGAATGACTGACAACCCATGGTGTATTATTTATTTTTGTGTAGAAATGTTACCATAAACATGTGGTTTAAAACCACACACATTTCTTATCTCATACTTTTTGTGCGTTAGTAGTCAGTTCATGGCTTAGCTAGATCCTCTGCTTCAAGATCTCACAAGGCTACATTCAAGGTGTGGGATCTGAGGTTGAAGTCTCATCTGAAGCTCAGCTGGGGAAGTATCTGTTTCTAAGTTCTCATGGTATTGGCAGCACTTGTTCCTTAAGGGTTGTCATACTGAGAGTCTCAGTATTTTACTGGCTTTTGGCTGGCTTTTTTTCAGGTGGGTCTTCCCAACATGGCTTTTGCTTCCTCAAAGTCCGAAAGAGAAAGAGAATCCTTAACAGGGTGGCATTAAAATCTTACATAATGTGATCACATACAAAAATTGTGTATCTTGTCACCTTGGCTGTATTCTTTTGGTTAGAAGCAAGTAACATGTCTTGCCTGCACTAAAAGGGAATCACATAGAACATGAATACCAGAGCGGAGGGGTCATGGAGGCCACTTTTGAGTCTGTTCACCACACACAATGAGTTACTTAATCTTGGTTATTTGGCAAACATTTCCAAAAAATTGAAAAAGGCACCTGTCACATAGGAAAACCGCTGATAGTATTTCTGTGAAGAGTAAAATTTGAGCTTTCAAGCAAAAATTAGAATTTTTGAAAACTTGTATCTGCTACCATGATCTTGACAGCTTCCCAGTACTTAAAGACTTTTCTGATGGGTAGTATTAATAATTAAGATTTTTTTGTTACTGTATACTGAACTCTGTCAAGATTTGGATGATCTGCATAGTTCAAAGAAGCCAGTATTTTCCATATAACCAATGCATGATGTTACAAAATTATGCCTGAAAGAAAGATCCTTTCAAAGTGTAAGATAGACTAATAGATTTTAATGTAACAAAGTACAAAGTTTAGTGATAAAGAGTAAGATTTTGCATTCCAACAAACCTTTAAGAAAATACCAACTGTTGAGTTTTGGTGTAGTATTAAAGAAGTGCACTTACAGTTATCCTAAAGTGCTATTAAAATACTCCCCCTTTCAACTATATATATTTATAAAGCCAGATTTTCTTTATATTTTTCAACCAAACATTTCCTAGCAAATTAAAAGCAGAAGTAGATATGAGACTATAGCAGGTTTTGATTAAGCTAGACACTAAAGAGATTTGCTACTCTTTAATTTTTTTTTGTTTTCAAGATAGTCATAAAAATTACTTATGTTAATCTACCATGGGTTTATTATAGTTTAAAATAAAATTAATACATATTTTTAAATTTTTCTGTTTTAATTTCTAATATGGCAAATATTAATGAATATGTCCCACCTGAATAAAAAACTCTTTTGGGTCTTCAGTAATTGTTAAATATGTGAAGCGGTCCTGAAACCAAGGAGTTAGAGTATTAACACAAAAAGTTACCCAAAATATAGAGTCTTTGCTATAAGTTAAAATCAAATTAACTCTGGTTTTTTTTTTCATGTTTATAATAAGCTATTTGACATTGGCCTTAGAGAAATAGTAAATTTTTCTTATGTTCTTTTGGCAGTAAGGGAAACAACTACCAAAGCACCTATACATTTTCTTGCAAATAATCAGGCTTACCACCACAATTGAATCCAAATATTTTTAGTACTAACAGTTTATTTTTTTCTGTATTTTATATCTTATTACTATAAGGTAATTTACCTACCTCTTGGCACTAAAAATTGATATTTTGAGGTGGTATCTTTTATAGAAGAGTTATTAAATTTAATTTTAGCCTACATAAAAATGAAAAGGAAGACTACAGCCTTTTAAAACTATGGCTAAATAAATGCAACTTCCATTTATATTTTGAAGATGTTATATATCATAAAAAATAAGAATATCTTTGGGCAGACACCTACCTCCCACCAACTCCCTCCTCCCCCTTTGCGAATTCTTTTCTGTGGTTTTAGCATTCTGAAGTAATGATTAATAGTGAAATGAGCCCTGAATTAGTATTTAAAAGACTTAGATTGAAGCAAGAGATTTGACTGCTGATTTTGCTTTGCTCTTAACCATTGTCAAACCTCTCTGAGCCTCATTTTCTTTATTTCTAAAATGAGAGATTTTACCCGAACTACTAACTCTCAATTTTGGCTTCTAAGGTTCCATAAGCTATATTGAATGCTACTATAGATGGAAAGCTATCCAAAATATAAAGATTATTTGCTATTAGTTGGAATCACATTAAGTCAGTAGTTTTCTAATGCTTATCGTAAGCTGTTTGGCATTTGGAGAATAGAAAACCGAAAAAAGAAACTTAGTTATTTAATTCAGTTTGCTAGAGAAATCTTTCCAGCATTGGACTCAGACAGAAAAAAAACAAAGTTTGGGGTGATATCTTTGGTGTTATAAAAGTTAGAAACTAAAACTTTCTAAATTACAGTGTTTTATTTATATGGGCATAGTTTTTAAATCAAAGCACCTCAATTGGTGTTTCCCAATCTTGGAGAATATTTAAAGGAGAGATTTTACCAATTGGTCTGGGTGGGTCCTGAAATGATGCATTTTAAACAACTCTCCCAAGTGATTCTAATGTGCAGTTTAAGTTAAGAATGACAGATGTAGTCTGGAATGAATTGAGAATCCACTTTAAGGGAATTTACTCTGAATTTTGGAAGCAACTTTTTAATAAATTATAGTTTTTTATTTTATGTCATGTTTTTGTTTGTTTACTTTTTCATGGAATATCTCTATACTTCAGCATCTCCTTTAGATAGCAGGGATCTATTATCACCTATAAAGTCAGTGTGTTATAGCCTAAGGGCATAGGCTTTGTAATCAGACCTGGGTTCTAATTCAACCCCAGCAATAAGAAGTTGGGGCTATATCAGACTGACATAACTATAGTCAGTCTATAAATTTATAGAATGGTGTATAATACTTTGTCTTTATTAGTCAAGTACTTGATTTAATTCATACATGCACTGTGAATTTCAAGTACATTTGAAACATATATGTACTGTGTAATGCAAGTATATTTAAAGTGCAAGTACATTTAAATTTGAAAGGTGACTAACTTGAAGCTCAGAAGTTTCTTGCCCAAGGTTTCATAAATAAATGTATAGGTCTTCTTAATCCCAGTCTAATGCCTTACTGTTGTATTTGATATCTTTCCAAACTATTTTATAAGATATTAAAATTCCCTGTTGCCGAATTATTTTAATCAGTTAATGTTGAATGACATGAAACCTGGGCTCTGAAATTGTGGTAATTAACCAGAGTTGTCCCCTAAGAAAGTGTTATCAGTATTAACTTTATATTTCTGTTAAAGTACTATTTTAGAAAATGCAAGTGAATATTTTCCATTTTTTGAAGGGCAAATATTTGGAGAAAATATTTATCTTGAATTGAGATTGTGGTTGGTTACAGTTAAATCATATGACTATGGCATTATTGATTTTTTAAATACTATATGGTAAAGCTCAAATGCAGCTATCTTCCTGTTAGGCCTCAAATACTAAAGGTGGTTTGGGTTACTTCAATACCTGTTTCCATAACTTTTTTTAAAACAACAGCCATCATTTATGTAGTCACAGATTTGCAATGTGTACAGGCTGTGATAAGAAAGACCCATTTCTTTTTCTTAATTAATTACTTTTATTGGGGTATAATTGACAATATATGAATTTTCGGTGTACAACATAAAGATTTGATTATTTGTATATATTGCAAAACGATAACCATAGTAAGTCTAGTTAACAACTATCACCATATGTATGGAGTTTTTTTTAATAAGAAATTTTAATATCTTAGCAACTTTCAAATATTCAGTATGTTGTTGTTATTGTTATTTTGTTAATCCTCACCTGAGGATACTTTTTCCATTGATTTCTAGAGAGTAGAAAGGAAGGAGGAGGCTGGGAGAGAAACATGGATGTGAGAGAGACACATCAATTGGTTGCCTCCAGGAGGTGCCCCAACCAGGGCCAGGGAACAAACCTGCAACTGAGGAAGGTTCCCTCGAGCATCAATCAAACCCGAGACCCTTTGGTGAGCAGGCAGACGCTCTACCACTGAGCCACAATGGCCAGGGCTATTTTTAACTGTGGTTACAATGCTGTAAATTACATTGCTATGACTTATTTTATGGGTGGAATTTTTTTACCTTTGACTCCCTTCACCATTTGTTTTCATAATTTCTTAACAAACCCATGTCAATAGAAAAGTTGGTAGCAAAACAAAATTTTAAAAATGTAGTTATTCCTCAATTTATTAGCATAAAACAAACTTTTATGTTTTTACTTTAAAATAATGTTTATTTGGGGGAGGAAAGTTTAGAAAGAGACATGTATTTGGAATATTTTCCTCCTCAGATAGTATAGAGTATATCAAATCAAAACCAAATGGTGAATACAGACACGTATTCCTCTTTTCTCACTGAACATTCTACTTTGAATATTCTTTGGATTCTTCTAAGAAATATGATCTTAGTGGTTGTATGAAAGTTTGTTCTTTAATTTTTTTAAGCCATTCTGCCATTGTTGGACATATAGAGTGCCATTGCCTTTATTTGCAAAAATTAAAAAGTAGTAACATTTACTATTTATTTGCATTTAAATATTTTTGCTATTAAAATGTTATCATTTTTAATTTTTAAACGTTAAATTGATTTCAAATGAATATTGGACTTATAGGGAAAATAATACAAAGTTTCATTAAAAAAAAAAAAGAATTCCATATACCCCTAACCCAGTTTACCCTAACGCTAACATCTCTCTTATCATAATCAAGTAGTCAACATTAACTAACTACAGACCTTATTTGAATTTACCAGTTTTTCTGTTAATGTCAGTTTTCATTCCCAAGGTCCTAGTGAGGATCATAGGTAGTTATAGCAGTTAGTTATTTCTTCTTAGTCTCCTCATCGTTTTCTGCAGTTACTGACTCTTTGTCTTTCATGACCTTGATACTTTTTGTTTTCAATATTATCATCTTTATTTTTTACTTTTACTTTTTGAAATGTATATTAATTAATAATTAATTTTATTATACATATTTTTTATTTTATTGTTTAAGGTATTACAAAGAGTAGTACATATGTCTCCTTTTTTTTCCCCCATTGACCTCCTCC